TGGTAAAGATATGCTAAAAGGAAGCACATGGGGACAGGTGGGACTGCATTTGAAACTGAAGTGATAGTTATGATCCAGGGGGATATTTTCTCTCTCTGAGGCCTTTATTTTTTCATCTTCAAGCAGTTCTCAGTTATATACAGAAGACTTCTTGTGACAATTAACTTTAAGGAATATTAAGATAATTGGAAGAGATACTGGATTGTTCACTATTTTCACTGTGCATTGTTTCTAAGGCCCCAGTGAGTTAATAAATTACTACATTTTAACAAGAAGTTCATCCCTGCCTCTAAGGGGTTACAAAGTCTGTTTAAAAGAACATTGGAAAGTCAAAGGCTCAGCCATTACACTGCAGTTGCCCCGGCTGCTTACAGACAACTCCTTTTCTCTGAGAATTATGGCATACCATTCCCTATGTTTGCTACTCACCAAATGCCACTGCCTCGTCTGGTACTCAGGATCTTGCTGAGTGCTGTATGGAGAACTAATGCCATCGGCTGTAGATCATCTGCCTTGTTTGGTCTTGTCTGACTGCATGTAAATAACTTCAGTGCCTCTAACTGTACAACTTGGCCGTGTGTGTGTGTATCCTCTTAGATGGGTTCAGAGTGCATCAGAGTTTCTACACCACTCAGATTCTTCTCTGATTGAGCAGTGCATAATTAACCACAACCAACTTGACAACTCTGCTGGGATTTTGCTGGAGTTCCACAAATATAATTTGGGCCAACACAGAATTTCACAAAGATAAACTCTTGAGTGTCCACTGAGCAGGTGCTGCACAGAGATAAATCTTTCGGCACCAACATTGCACAAGCCATACTTTTACTTTCATGGGATATATCTACATAAGCATGTTTTATCTGTCTGGTGCTTGGTATTTATTTTTGGGTTTATATTTGTATGCATTAATGGGTCATTTAGGTGCCAGGACGTCATATGCTGAAAAATTTGATTATAAAGAAGATATACATAGGAACAAAAGATTCCTCAAAGAAGGACAAGTTTGGCAGGGATTTTATGATTAGCACTGACTGGTACTGCATTTCTGTAGCATGGCTCTGTGCTACAGAATCAGGAATTAAGGGTTTTATGTAGTGACATCCTTTATACTGAAAGGGATTCACCCAACACTGACATTAATTCTGTTCACACTATCACTGTGCAAAGTGCTGAGCGAAGAAAAAAAATTATACAGTTGTTTTTTATTGGAAGTAATTTTTTCATATTTGTATGGATGAATTGAAAAAACATGCCAAAACTAATATCCTCAAGCCTGTTTTATCAAACAGCTCATACTTTATTAAAATAATATAGACATGTCCTGCCCCTTTACAAAACTCCACAAATTTTTTCTTTTTTCAAATAATAAGTGACAAGCATGGGTCTTGAAAACATGTTCTCATGGCTTATATGCTGTATGTTTGAGAAGTTCATTCTCAATCACTGGGCCTCTGACAATTTTTTCAGTGCCACAGTCAATATAGCTCTCAAAACATGATGAAATTGTATTTTATACATTTCTTTGCAGGTTTTCTTTTTTGACTTCCACTTGATTTAGGGTATTTTTTTGAGAGCACAGTGCCCTTACCAGTGAGATGATATATGCAATAACTACATTATTTTAAATCTTTCTAACTTAACAAGACCTCAGAGGCTGAGCTGACATTATCTGGATGATTACATTTCCTGCTGGTGGATTACTGTCAGGAATCAGTGAAAAAATTCTTGGTGGGAGAGATAGAATCTACCTATCAGTTCTGCTGTGATTAATGTAGAATTTACAGCAAAAAAATCCAGACTCTCAGTGATGTGTTCAGTAACTCATGCCAAGACCTTGTTATCAAGAATTCTTATCTTCAGAAGAAGCACAGTTAATGTCTTCAGTAGTCCATAAAATTACTGCAGAACTTAAAAATCTCCTATAAAATCAATGCAATTAATTGTAAATTAATAGATTTCTATGTGTGAAGGAGCATGTAATAGTGTAGATGAGTCCTTGAATGAGCATGCCAGTTCTGGTGTCAGGGGTGGGAACTTCCCACTGTTTTATGTGACACCTTCAAGTGTAAACACATTTCTTTTCCTTCCCCCAACTGATTTGGCTTGCTACCATAGCAAGTAACATTTCCATTAGCCTCCCACAGTTAAATCGTGGAGTAACTATAATCACAAAAACATCCACCATGCAAGCAAACTAATAGAGCAGCAACTGTGGTCATAGTTTATCTTCATCTTACAGGCGTTTTTTGTGAGTTCACCACAGTTGGTGCAGAAACAAATCCCTTTAAACTGAGTCTAATGAAGGAGAATAAAAATGGCTGGTTGCAATACAGATTAAGGGCTTATAGATATTCTTGAGTGAGCTTGCTAGAAAGAAAAACATTGTGTTGTTTCCCTTATGTGAAGTACTTAGCAGCAAGGCAGTGTCCTGTGTGTCAGTGCTTAGAGTGCTCAGGCTTGATGGGGCAGAAGAGGAATAGTCTGGCTTCAGGTTACTTCAGATTTTACTTAAAATATATGTAGATGTTGACAGGTTTAGCTTTATTACAGGTAGCAGGACAGAAACAATCTTAAGACCAGAACTTTCTGGTTCATAGCTTGCATATGAACCGGAACATAGAACTATTTTGGTTCTAAACTGTAACAGACTGTTTTCATATGTGAAATATCCACCATTTTCTGTGATTTAGCTTTACTTTTAGCTAAAAAAAACCCCAAAATATAGCTGTATGGCATAATCAGGTGGTTTTTTTCTACAACCCCAGTTTTGCAAAGCATGTAGACTTGAAGCTGAAGTGACTCTGAGGCTGGGTTAACTTTTGCAAACAAGTTTTTCTGATCTGGGATTTCAAGGTGTCTTTATCTTCCTCTGAGGCTGAAGCCTGGAAACTTGGCAGAAAGCCATTCATGCCAAGGGCTTATCTTGCAGCACAGCTCCTCTCTTCTGGATACAGCTATGACTGTTCCTGTTAGTGAATCTTACATCAGCACCTTTACTACCTATGCACTGTGGGTTTGGCTTGTGGGGTTTGCTAAAATAATAAAATCATGAATAGGATGGTGACACAAGGTGTCATAAAGTGCAGTCTGTATGTTAAATATTTGTAGTAATAGGACATTTACAATGTCATATTTTGGAGGCAGGACAAAATCTTAATAAGCTTTGCAATGAACTACTAGAACTAACGTGTGTATAAAGTAGATGGCTTTTCTTTTTAGCTTTTGTTGATTTTAAACATGAAATACGGGATTTTTCTAACAGCACGTTAGATGCTGTGATGTAGCAGCAGGGTGATACAGAGGGAGGAAGCATAGCTCGCTGTGCAGACCTGCCCAGAGTAACCCTTAATGCTTATATACTTTTACTACAAGCTGACTGTTGCTCTGGGTTTCCAGCTATTCTGTAGCAGTAAGATAGTGTAGAAATAAGAGGTTCCATAGAAACAGTGTTGGACCTGTGCTCTATATTCTCTTCCTAGTTTGTCAAATGTATCATGAATGTGATTTTTTTTTGGTCCAATTTGAGCATTTGTTCAGGGCCTTAGCATTTGAGTCCTTTCCTGCAGAGTGTCTCTTTGGATGAAAGGAAGCAGAAAAGCAATGTCTTAGCTATGAGTAATACAAAAACATTAAGCAAAAGGCTGAAGGGAAATGTATTTCTTAAAAGGTCTTGGTTTACTTGCCAAGGATACAAATTTTAGAAAATAATGAGAGTTGATGAAGAGCTATACAGGGGTTGACATAGGGGGATTTTTGGTGTGTTGTCCCCATGGTGTTTTTTTCTGGCTCTGATACATCTGCCCCTCTCTCCTTTGGGAGAGGGGAGCTGGGTAACAGGTGAAAAGGGCTCTACACTGCATGACACAGCTTGTGTTAATTAGATGCCATCTCCAATAACAGGAACATTTCTGCTATGTTAAGGAAAAAAAAATCCCAAAGGATGCACTTTAAATATATATTGGAAGGGTACAACTGCATGCAAACCATTTTAAATCTTCTGACAATTAAAAGTTTATTATAAGGTCATATACACTATACACTGTAGGAAATACTTTGTTTCTCCTTAACAGGCTTTCAAAATTTCTTATTTAAATGTACAACATCATGTTTTAAATTATTGAAACACTTCCTATCATGGCAAATTTAGAAAAGAAGTAGTGCAGTTCAAAGGTGGTATCAATTGTAAATGAGGGACTTTGTTCTTTTTCTTTTTCCCTCCTCCTAACCTCTCTATAAATGTCCTTATACATTCAATATTTCATCCTTCTTTGATAGTACATGCTAGTATTTAGAAAGGATTTGAATGTCTGTCTACACATTTACAGTGGAGACAATATGTTCTATTTTTTAAAATCTCATATCCCAGGAACTTTCAGATACTACCTCATTTCATATTTCACTGAATTAATTTTTATTATCACAGTTTTTGCTTACAAAGTTAATGAATTATGGAGGACTTCTGATCTAACACCACTCCAGTTATTAAGAACTATTTAAGCAGAAGGGATTAAATACTGTGCCAATTTTATAGTTGCTGGGTTTATAACGATGCATGAATTTAGTTTTATCTTGCTTTTGAGTAAGGCCACTGAAATCAATCTACCCATTCAGAAGGGGTGATGGACCCTTCTTCCTAAGGCAGAAGGGTCCATCCTGACACACACCTCCGAGGGAGTGGGGGAGTGAGCTGTGGCTCTGGCCCCCCAGCTAGAGAACTTCCCAGAGCATCCCTGCCAAATAGGATTTATCTGGCATATTGATGAAGATGTGTGTTGATTAAAATATATATATGCTGGTTATAGTATATGCAGACTACTATAGTTTCTCATCCAATGCAAAAAGTCTTTTTTGGGTTTTTTTTGGTGGGAGGGAGGGGAAAGAAGGAAAAGTTAAAACTAAGTGCAGAAATCTAATTTCTCTCTTCTAAATATCAGATCTGTAACACTGATGTAATTTTAATTATCTTAATCTTATTTATTTTCTTTTTTTCATTTTAGGTAAGTGGAAGCTTTCTCTTCATGACTTGGGGCCACATTTAATTCCTGTGGTAAGTGTTCATCATAAGAATATAGGGATCAGCTGTGTGTAAATTAACACCTTAAGTTGGCTTCACATGTGACAGTGGATTCTAGGAGGCTGCATGTATATATCCACATGCTGTTTCTCCTGCACAAGTTATTGATGTTTTTGAACACAGGTGACATTTCCTTTTCAGACCTGCTCAGTTGAACAGCTTGCAGGTATCCTGACACATTTTTCCTCATGGAATTTGTGTTAGCTTATTGTGTTTGGTCTTACAATGCAAAAGCTTATTAGTTGAAGTGGCTTATTTTGTTTCTGTTTTGGAAGCTTATCCTCCAAAATTTCTTGTGTTTAGCTATAAGAATAAGTATTGTTTTCCTCACGTCCTTTAACATTATTTCACACTGCTTTGTAGCAGCACAGTTTGGATTGTTACTGGCTTGGGTTTATCATGGTCTATGGTTTTTAAATTGTACATTACTTTATAAATTACATATGTGTGTGAAAAAGAATTTGAACACCTAGCCGTGACTTGTTTCAGAGAAAAAATAATATTTGTATTTACTTTTGTGCACTTAATGTTCTTGATGTATCATAGCTGGGTGAAAGGAAAGGATGGACTATTTCTTAGGAGCTTGGGTTTTAGACTATAAGGGGGAAATTTTCTTTTGAGGCCCTGCAAATTCCGCAGGGGTTTTATTTTTGCTGAAGCAGGTGTATGATGGAAGAGGCAGTGGACTGCAGGAGTGACAGACTTCCTTTTGCATTTCCAGCATTGCCCTGGGAATAGCGGTATAGGTGTCCTCCTCTTCTTGAAAGGACTGTGAGTGTGTGTTGTAGCATCATCTATTCAGTTGTGGCTTTGAAATTAAACTTTATGATTCTGCTTGAGTTTTCATTTCTTTTGGAGGAGTTTGGAGGTTTTGTGGTTTTAAATCTTTATCCTGTGTGTGTTTTGTTTATACGTTGGATTAAATAATGCATTGCTTACAGCAATAGTATTTTAAGCATATCCATCATGTTTAACCTATGCCAACAGCATTACTTATATTGATGGTATTTTTGGATGCAGATAAAGAAGGTTGCACTAGTGCAGAATACTTCCTCAATAAAATGGCTTTTTTGTTTTCAGTATATCACCTTTTCAATCAAATGAAGTCCATTTATTTGTCCATTTTATTATCAAAATATATTTATTATCAAAAATATGACAATGGTGATACTTACCTTATTTTTTTTTTAATTTATAATTAAATGATGGAGCTGTAATGTGTCCGCATTCAGAATTATTATACAAAGGCTTGGTACAATCCATCTACACAGGCATGGCTGTTTTATGTGGGAAAAGCTCATTGTATAGTTAAGTCTGTACTTGTAAAATTCATGTTTTATGCAAGGCATTTGTGAATTAGCTGGAGGACACCCAGGTGCACTTTTTTTTCTTTTTTTTTTTCTTTTTTTTTTATTCTGGATTGTTTTGGGGTTTGGTTTTGGGTTTTTCGATTGCTGTAGGGAAACTTTTATTCAATACATAGATCAAAACTGGGTGTGTTTTTTAAAGGCTATAGGCTATTTAGGTTATTACAGAATGAATACTGGGGTGAAAGAGAAGCTAGCACAGCAGATAAAATCACAACCAATGTGTGATTATGTATGTAGATAAATATATGTACTGTTTATTTAAGGGTGTTCAATTAATCAGAATTCTTTCAGTGCTTAAAAGAACTTTAACCTGATAGAAACCTTTCTGCAGTATAGAAGTTAATAACAAATTAATAGCATAAGTTGTTTTCAAACATTTTTTATAGGATTCAGTGACCTGATAAAGAATGTTATCTACTTGTTACAAAAAAGATTGCACTTACAATGGAGCAGTACTTCCTTGCTTCCAGTGTCCTTTCCTGCACTCCTTTTTTCACTCAATATTTGCTAAAATATTTGGTGAGGTTTTCTTTTCTTTAAAAAAAAAAATAAAAAAGATTAAGTTTGTTGTCCACAAAAGCACATAGAAAAACTCAAAGTAACTAAAACCAAATCAAATCACCCCTTATCAATACAAATAAGAATTTATTTCTTGGTGATGTAGAGTAGAAAAACGTCAATGCTAAGAAATAGAAAATGTCCAAAGGAAAGAAAATTTGGCGTCAGTGTTGACTAAAAACCTCATGGGAATTGTAATGCCTTGCTGCATTGGTTGGGCAGGGGGAAGGAAACCATATGTGAGTGTAACATTACATACAAACTATCTGCTGAAGAGTTGCCAGTGGCCTATGCGTAAAGGAAATTGCGCTTGAAAATGCAGTTATATCAGTGTCAACACTAGTTACATATTCTTTTCCAGCTTTTAAATTGTGTCTTCTTCTTGTGTAGGAAACTTAAAAATGAATTCCTGGCAGACAGATAATTTTTTCTTGAAACATAATAAAGACAGCAGACTTTTCTTTAAATGCCACATTGAAGTCTGTGCCCCATGCTGTTCACCAACTCTGTTATGGTTTTATTTTCAATTGAAGAAAAAGGACAAAAAAAGATCAGAAAATAGAGAAATGCAAAGGTGAAGGTCAGTTTTTCTGCTTGCATAGGCTTTTTGTGCTTGTGCTTTGAACCCTTGTGAGAAGGACAGAGGCATGCAAATCCAGATGTTGTTTGAAGAGCTACCTCAAAGGAGGCTGGTCAGAGGAAATGACACAGTGTCAGGGCAAACCTGTGATTGTGGTTTTTCGTGACCTTATACAGTTTGATATCCAACAGCTTGACATCTGTATCCCATTTCAAGTGTTAATGGTGTAGTGATATCTCTGTCTTTTCCTCCGTGTTTGATTTGAGGGTGCTGGTTCTTGACACCTGAATTTGTTGGCAGAACAAGGTGCAGTTAACAATTCATCATAGTTTTGGGTTTGGTTTTTTTAATTCTGCTTACCCACAGTGATCCTCACTTATATTAGGCATCATTGTACATGAAGCTTTTTTTTTATTTTTAAGCAGTGATTTTCTTAATTTGCATTGCATTTCAACAGTCAAACAAAATATTAGAAAGTGAATTTGGGATTAATGCAAATACTCAAATATTTTTCAAATTTTTTTCTGCTCAGGTTGCTTTCACATTTCTGTGCAGAAGTTTTAATAAAACAAAATAATGTTGTAGAAACTGAGAATTTAGACTTGAATCTGTTGCACACAGCAAAAATTCTAATTAGTATGGATTTGCAGGCTTCCTTGGTAATGTTCATTTTAGGATGTAAATGCTTCTAGTCCCAATTTTTCCTTACTTGACCACCTGTTACATTCTTCTTGTTCAAGCTTTGTTTTCAGAAATGAGGTAATTTTTTAAAAAACCTTTAAATGTTGTTTGCTATCCTGTGAGTAGTAGCTACATCAAGGGCTTCAGGCAGGACGTTAAAACACAGAAAGAAACTGTCATACCTTTTGCAGCTGCTCAAAGGAGAGGCCAAATGAAAAATTACACTATCAAAAACTTGTAAAAGCAAAAAATGTCACACTCCAAAATATGCTATTAAAAATAACTGTTCAAGTAAAAAAAAGTTGGATTTGGTACTCATGCCAGTTACTTTGGACTTGTGAAGTATTCTATGTGCATGGGAAAGAAAAGCATTTCCAACTTGCTCTGTAAGTTACTTCACATGAACATGGCTTTAAGGCATGCCTGAAGTGCATGTACTCCTAGGTGGATGAAGGTTATCATAAAGTTTCTCCATCTGGCGACTTTCCTTTAAGAAATAATCCTGCATTGATGAACTTCCAGGGGTGGGGAGAGTTAAAGCTTTTTTTTTATCGTGATATGTTGCATTGGTTTCTTCAGTTACTACATTTCTCAAACTACTTTTTAAAAAAATTATTTTGCTAGACTGTTTATATACTTATTAAAAATAGTGATTTTCAAAAATATTTGGTTCCAGAAAGTGCTCCATAAGCCTTTATCTTATAGGATAAATCAGTGTTTTTCAAGACTTTTCATAAACAATAATGAAGCAAATAAGATCTTAATTTTCTGACAGTCCAAGGTGTAAAATCAAACCAGTTCATCTTGTATTTTGGAACAGATGTGGCATTTGCAATAACAGATTGCTTCTAATAAATTTACTTCCACCACATTAATCTGTTTAGTAACATTTGCTATTCATTATTATACTATACTATTATACTATTGAGATTGTTTCCAACCCACCTTATTTCTACATCAGGTTAGTTAAGGTTATCTCTCAAAGGAATTTCCACTAAGAAACATTCAGCGTCTTTGACTGAACTGAGCCATGGAAATAATAATCTAAATGTTTTGAAACATTTTTGAGTTTGTGGGCATAGATGTGTAAACATGTACAAAACAGAGCAGGCTTATAATACCAGTCTGGCTAGATAATTTGTTTTAATTTGTTGTTTTGACAGTCATAACTGCATTACCTTCTGATTATGTACGCAGACATTTTGTATTGCATTCTTATCTCTTGTAGTCCATGACTTCACCTTTACCTTACCTAATTTTTGGTGGGATTAGTTAGGATTGCATTCCTTAAAGTAAAAAGCACATTATTTGCATTAATTCAGAAGGCCAGTCCAGAGGGATTGTAGTCATAAGCTTATCACTGTACCTTTTAGTCTATTAAATTTCATTCAAAAGGCTTAACAATAACCAGGTTGGGTTTGGTTTTTTTTTTTAATCTTTATTAATTTTTAAAGTGAGGGGTGAATTTGTATGGAGATAATCAGCATAATCTCAGAAGATGCACACGATCCCCTGTTGAAGTTTTGTTTCTTTATGCTGGAGTGAGCAGAGCCACCACGGCAGCAGCAACAGTGAGCTCATGTGTGACAGGGTTTCAGATTGCTGGTTTGGCTTGTGCAGTGTCCCTTGGAGAAACCCACTGGGTGCTGAGTTAGAGGTGACAAATTGTCTTGTTAAATTGGCCCTCTCAGATTTGGCAGAGACCCTGAAGAGAGCACTTAGGTGTACTGTGTACCTGCCCTTATTCATGCCAGTCAAAGCAGGATATCAAAACCCAGCGTCTG